AAATTACTCTCTTAGACATACATGCATTTGCACTGTATACAGTAAGTCCAGCTATATTTAAAGTGCTTTGGAATGCTTTGGGTTAAAAAGAAGAATGTATAAGGATTTATTACTAATTATTGTTAATATGAACTTTTAAATTTGAATGTATCAGGACCTATAAATACATATTTGATCAAATTAATGAAAAACAATTAAAACTAAATAATCACCACCAAACACAGATTTCCTTACAAAACATAGTACATACTAATGTACTAATAGACCTAAATTCTAAATAAGAAAGTCAATAATACAAGTAGTATTATAGATTCTAGATGAAAGATATGTTTGGTTGAACAGTTGGTAAGTTTTTTTTCTTTTTTGTGAATACAGTTAAGAACATATTTTGTGGACACTCCCTATAGTCTTTAAAGGTGTTTTGCAATATTTGCACCTCTGAGATCTAATTATTAGGTATAAAACCAGGTGGTAGGGAGTAATGCAGATGAGATAAATTACAAATAAATTAAACAAGTCAAGCAGTGACAGTGTACACGTTAAGCAGGGACAGATACGTGGATATTCCACATAATCTTTTAAGGTGTTTTGCAATATTTCCACCTCTGAGATATAATTATTAGGTATTAGGCAAGACTGTTAATTACTGCACCTAGCAGTATCATTGCAATTCTGCTATATAATATTATAGAGTATATTAACCAATCTTGTAGGAGGTATAAGGTTGATGGCCTGAAGGGTTTTACAGTTTTCAAGTTTTCAGACCCAACTATCTTTCCAAAATGATTGTGACATTGTTTTTAAGAGTTTAGATAATCTATTCTTGTTTAGATTGTTGAAACTATTTAAATACGTCTTGGCTGTTCTTGACTGTGATGTCTCTCTTTTTTGTTGTGAGTGGCTTATTTAGAAAGTCTAGGACAATTAGCATCATTTGAAGTGTTTGCCTACTTGTAGTTGGGCTAAGAGGCAGGTAAACAAAAATGATCAAAGGAAGTACTAAAGGTTTACTCTGGTTCATTAACTTCAGGGTAAAACAATAAAAACTCATAATGGGGCATTCAGGAGACAGGACACAGGAGAACCAGAAGAAGAATAATGAGGGAAGAAAGATAAAGTTGGCTATGGCATAGAACCTTTGTCAACTCCTCTCACTGTTCACTCATTGTCCAGCCTGTAAAAACTAGGGGCTGGATAAAGTTCTAGAAGATTGAGCATGAAGAAAAGGGTGGATGGCGTCTCATGTCAGCAGCTATGGGCTTTCACACTGTAATTACACAGCTTTTATGGACAATAATTGAGCACTTTATTAGCCATATACAATTTCTTGCATTAGGAATTTGTCTTTTTTGCATACCACAGCTTGCTTTCCATGAGACACACAGACAGAGAGAAGCTCGGGGTCAGAGCACAGGGTCAGCCATTGTATAGCACCCTTGGAGCAGCTGGGGTTAAGGGCCTTGCTCAACAGAGTAGGATTCCTCTACCAGCCACAAGATTTGAACTGTCAACCTTCCAGCCACAGGCGCAGATCCACTGCTCCACCCATACCGTATTGTCTCAACCACATTCCCCAGAAGCTTCTGATAAATTAGCCGTTGCTGCCCTAATTCACTAGTTGTAGGAAGACAATTGGTCAGGTGAATGTTTAAAAGTAGGAAGCAGATGCTTTCTGAGTCAGTTACAGTACAGTATGTACTATCTGAATGCCACAGAACACTTCCTCTGTGTGCAGCCTCCTAGAGGAAGGAGGATTGACTTGTAACTTTGGAACTATGGACCAAGAAACTTTGAATTTTTGGATGTTTGTGTGAAAAGTCTCAAAGACAGATATGAGATATGGACTTTGCTTCTCAAGAAGTAACAGGGAGAGACTGGTGTTTATCTGAAGAGTCTTAACGTTAAAAATTACTGTTAGTATTTATTTTGACACTGCTGAGCGGTTTAGCTGCCTATTTACAGTATGATAGTTAGGGGTTGGAGCACTTAATTATCAACTCAAAGAAGATCTAGGATTTTGATTGTTTTGGATTGTAGTGGTTGTTGGAATTTTATGGCTGTGTCTCTGTGCCTGTTGCCCCGGACCTGCCTATGTTAAAGATCCTGTTATGACACACCCAAAGCGACATCACAATGCCCAAACCAGACAATTCTGCAGTAGCTAAAACTGGTAGAAAGACTAATGTTTCAATGAAGAGTGCCTGTGGCTTCAAAAGAATTTACCATGAAGTTAATTCTCCTGTCTGGAGTGATCAAGGCTGGAGTTCTAAAAGATGGATCCAGGGTACCCATCACTTTTATTCAGTAGCAGCAAGGTGGTCTGAAGACATCTGGGCACACTGGTGACTTTGCAGTTGACAAAATTAGGCCTTCCCTATTATTTGTTGTATGCGAAGATCCCCAAACAGATTTTCTCCATTTGAGTTATTACATGGGTCATATCCTTGAGGAGTCTTCAATTTGTTACAGGAAAGACTGGAAATTTAAGACTTTTATTAGATTTATGAATATTAGAACATAAATGGCATTTAATTACCATTATACAGCATATACAGTACAGTATATTCCTGCTTCTATCAGATTTTTAATACAATAAACTACAAAGTACCTTACAAAACTGAAAGCCGAGTATCATGAAGTCATACATCTGCTATGGCTTACCTTCATGAGATTCTCTAGTTTGCAACAAAATTGTTCCAGGTGTTTCACTGTTTTTTTAAATTGATTTGACACCAATTTTCATTATTTTTTTCTACTTTATTTGAATTGCACATGCTGGCAGTGGAAATAACTACAATAAAATAGCAGTTTTGTTCTTGTAGTAAAAAAAGAAATTACACCTAGACAGGATTTGGAAAGTAAGGAGTGGCTCAGAAGATTAAGACCTTCACAAAAGAAACAAAGGCCTCTTTTTTATTAACAACAGGCATTCCTAGCAGCAATTTAAAAGATACAGTACCTCATTCTCTCTTACCTAAGTGGGTCAATTCTGTCAGTTACAAAACAGGACTCATATTGCACAAAGCTAACACTTCAAAGATGATGCAAACTTATGTCTCTTTTTTATTTTCAACACAACTTTAGTGAACCAACCTACTTAAAGTAAATATACTGTAGATACAGTCAGGTAGCCCTAAGGAAAACAAACAAAAATTCTTTGGTGGGTAGCCTCAGTTCCAGACTTGCAAACATACAAGAGGTAAATGAAAGTACCATTCAGTGGTTTGTTGAATGGATAATCATTTATGAAAAAAAAGTATGACATTATTCCCAGGAAGAATAGTTGTACATTTTGAGGAAAGCAACTGAGAAGAAGAAGTCTTAGTTCCTATCCTTTACTTCCTGATTTCTGTTGGATACATCTGAACAGAACACGAATTATTGCTAAAAGCTCAGCATGTCAAAAGTTGCATTTCTGAAATGAAAAACCATTTCATTACATACTTCAGACCATATTTCCCTGTGGGCACCCTACTTAATCCGCAGTTTAAATAAATTAGTTGGACAATTTGATTGCAGGTACTTACTCCTGGTGAGGATTGCAGTGGTAACAGGATCAGCAAGGCAGACCTGAGTTTCCTTTCCTCAGTCACAACTCCTCCTGGGGGATACCCAGGATCTCACAGGCCAGCTGAGAGATATATTTTGTAAAGTATGTCCTGGGTCTACTCCTGTCTCTCTTCCTAGTAAGCTGATACACCTCCAGGGGTAAGCGCCTAGTTGGCATCCTCACCAGATGCCTGATCCACCTCAATTAGCTCCTCTCAACTCAGAAGAGTGGTGACTCTACTCCAAAGTCATCCTGGATGACCAAGCTCCTCACGCAGTCATGGAGAGTATGCCCAGCAGCCCTAGAGAATCACTTGATTTCCACCTTTGCAATCTCATTCTTTTGGTCACTATTCAAAGCTCATGACCATAAGTAAGGATGGGAACATAGGTTGATGGGTAAACCGAGAGGTTCGTCAGAAAACTCAGGTCCTGCTTTGCCAATGCGGCTGCACCAATGTGCTGGGCCAATCTCATGATCCCCTCTACACTCAGTCATGAGCAGGACCCCAAGGTCCTTAAACTCTACTTGGGACAGCCATTCTCCTCTCACTTAGAGAGAGCAAGCCAGTCTTTATCAGGAGAGAGTTATGAAAATATTTCCATTATCTTTCAAAGGGCACAACTATCGCCTGGCATCATGTATTAAAGATAAGAATTTAGATGTTTAAACATTGGCAGAGCATAGTAATTTTACCAAAGGAGCTAGTACATAAAGTACATAAACTGAATGGTCTCTTCTTGTTTCTAAACTTTCTTATGTTTTTAATTCCTGAAGCACTAAAAGTGACACTACATAGAAAAAAATGGACCAGAATTATGAGAAACAATTTACTTTTGTGTAGTGTGCTTCTGACTGAATGCCACAACATGTTTTATTCTGAACTGTGCATGCAGTTGTTGCATCAACAGTTGATAGAACATTTTGCTGCATTATATGATCTTAATATTGAACTTTTTAAAGCAGTTTTTATCTCAGGCTAATGTCAATGGTAAAGATTTTAAACATTATGAAACATTAGTACACAATTCTTTTCAGAACCAACGCTTTAGTAAATTCCTTTACTTTCCTTCAGATTAGATGGGTAGTTGCAAAACACTTTGGTTTATTATTATCTTTCAATACACAATATTAATTCACTATGAATTACCAACTCATAATTGCATGCAGTAAAACGTTTGGTAATATTCTTTGGAAGATTTAGATTAATTTTTACTTCGTTGATAGTTTTAAAGTGCAACATAGCACTCAGACTACTCTGTAGGCGTACTGTACCTATAGTATGCTATTCCATGCTGTAGCACTTTTTCGACTCTAAAAACCTTTGTTTTTAGGTGTGACTAAGCTGGACAAGGGTAGTGTAGCGAGTTGGACAGGTTTAAAATGTATGCTGTGTACCTTTAAGAACGCATCAGGTAACTTCCTGTTTAGGTTCTGTATCGTTGTTACATGCAGCTCACCAACAAGATGATGTACTGTAGTACTGTATACTTTAAACAGAAGAGTTTCGATGTTTGATGTTGCTTATTTTTGAAAATTTAAATTTAAGGATATTCGACTCTTTCTTCGTGAAAGTAAGTGAAGCTTTCTTCTTTTGTTACTGTTTTTTTGGTATTATGACTACATGAATTGTTTTTTTGTCTAATGCATATGTTACTAATTTAAGTGTGTAAAAAAGCTCAACGATCAATAACAAATAACCGTAAACAAATAGTATGAAAATAAATTTATAAGCAAAAGCTTTGAACATTCAAACTACTTGTCCGATTTCTCTAAAGCATTGAGGGATGCTTTTATATTAAAAAAGTAAGAGAAATAATTTGAAGTATAATTTATTCTATTCTGTTTTGTTCTGTTTTATTATCAGACACGTCAATGCGAATGCAGACGACATGTTGGACCACAAGGGCAATCATACAAACTCTTTTAAAACAAATCCCAGGATAGTAGTTAATACTTTGTTACACCCACTATATTGCATGTAGATTAAGACGTAAATTTTAGTGATGTAGTACTTTTAAATAACCTCAAATCAAATCAAATCAAAGTTTATTTATCAAATGCACGACAATACGTCGTGCAGCACTAGTTGCTGGCAATGAAATGTCTTTTTCTGCGAGCTCACAAAAATTACAAGAATCACAAAAATCATAAAAATTCACAAAAACACAAAAATCACAAAATTGAGGTTACATTTTTTAAATTGAATAAAACTCAATGTGAGTAGAGCTGTTATGTGTCCATGGTGTATGCAATATATACATGTAGTGCAGTTATGCTGAATATAGTGGGAATTGTGTGTCCATGTAGCCATTATAGGTGATTTGCTAAGGAGCTACAGGTTGGCTATTTAGCAGTCTTATTGCCTGGAGGTAGAAGCTGTTCCGTAGTCTGTTGGACCTGGACCGAATGCTTTGGTACTGTTTACCAGACGGTAGGAAGGAAAACAGTTTATGACTGGGATGACTGGGGTCCTTGAGAATGGACCTGGCCTTCTTCAGACATCTAGCTGAGTAGATCTCCTGGATGCTTGGTAGCTCACAGCTGGTGATAAGCTGCGCTGACTTCACCACCGTCTGCAATACTTTGTGATCCTGTGCGGAGCAGCTCCCATACCAGGCAGTGATGCAACCAGTTAGGATGCTCTCAATAGTGTACCTGTAGAAGTTGGTCTGCACATGCCTTCAGAATGCGGCCAGGGATGGCATCAGGGCCAGGAGCCTTGGGTGGATTGGTCTTTTTAAAAACTTTACACACATCCACTCTGGATATGATCAGTGGGTTTCCGTCTTGGATTTCTGGAATCTTCCTGACTGGATCTGCGTTGTTGACCTCAAACCGAACATAGAATGAATTTAGCTCATCAGGAAGAGAGGCAGACTGTTGTGAGATATAGCTGGGTTGCGTTTTGTAGTCTGTAATGGTGCATATACCACTCCACATGGTCCATGTGTTGCAGCCGTGATAATATGACTCTAGTTTTACTCTGTAGTTGTATTTAGCTCTTTTGATGGCTTTCCTGAGGTCGTATCTGGATTTTTGGTATTTACCCATATCGCCAGAATTGAAAGTAGCTGTCCTAGCTTTCAGTTTGGCGCGTATCTCACCATTTACCCACAGTTTCTGATTTGGATATGTGTGAATAGTAATCCTGGGAACCACGTCTTCAATACATTTACTGATGTAGCCAGTAACATAGTCCGTATACAGATTGATATTATTTTTGGCAGCTTCGCGGAAGATCTGCCAGTCAGTGGTAGCAAAACAGTGATTTCGTATAAAATCTGATTCATCTGACCATCGTTGAATGGTTCTTAACGCTGGCCTCTCCTGTTTAAGCTTCTGCTTGTAAACGGGAAGTAGCAGAACCTATTTATTCATTATTAGGCTATGATACAAGGTTAAAGGCTAGGTAGAGAATAGCTTGTTCCTCGCTATATTAGCACAATTAATTCTAATATTTCTGTTCATAGACTAAAATTCGTAAAAGCCACACTAAACTTGATGAACATACACCACATGTAAAATTCGTTCCAAGTCCTTTTAACTGGACATTAACCATCTGAGTTAATTACATTGTTATACAATCTTATTGTCCATCCAAAAGTGTGGAGAGTTGTCTTTGGCAACACCATAAAAACAAAAACAAATAAAACTCAACATAAAGTAAATACACGTTAAAAACAAATAGTCCTAGCCATGCAACAATAAACACACACATATATCGCTCTGTCCACATTACACTGCCATTACAGCCCCACAGACTCATACATAAAACAGTCACTTTAATATACAGTATCTATTGCACAGGGAAAAAAAGATTTCTCTGATACATTTTTCTTGGCCATAGGCAAATGCCTCCATGAAGGTAGCAGTTGGAAATTGGAATGAAGAGGGTGCGAGTTTAGTTAATTAGGTTAGTTTCGTTATTTTTCTTATGTAATAAAATAGTTTGGCACCATAACTTTCTAAGTATATGTAGACTTTTACACTTCTTTTTAATGAAAGCTATTATCCATCCACCTATTTTCTAACCACATCTTCCAATTCTGGGTCACAGGGGTGCCAGAGCCTATCCCGGCAAGCAACTGGTATAGTGGTTAGCATTGCTGTCTCTTTGCTCTGGGGCCCTGGGTTCAATTCCTGACCTGGTATGCTAGCTGCTTGGAGTTTGTCCATTCCACCCTTGTTTGTGTGGGTTTCCTCTGGGTGTTAAGATTTTCCCACCACAGTCGAAAGACTGTTTAGGTTTACTGTTAGGTTAATTGGCTTCTCGGAAAACTGGCCCTGGTGTGTATGTCTGTCTTGGCCCTAAAATTGGCCCTAGGTGTGAGTGTGTACTTGTCTGTGCGTCTGCCCTACAATGGACTGGTGTCCTGTCCAAGGTGTACCACATCTTGTGTCCATTACTTCCCAGGATACAGAAGGCTTCTCCTACCCCACAACCCTGAAATGGAAGAAGCAATTAGAAAATGGATGGATTAATGTATTACAAAATTGGCTATATGAAGGCATACAATTTGCATGATCAATATAGAACCAATAAATAATAAATATGACAATAATAAATGAGTGATGAGTTTTATAGTATACAGTAGGTGATACTGTACCTATTCATTCATGTTTGTTACGCATTTTATACATATTATTTTCATTTAGAGCAAGTTAAAGGCTAATGTAGGCATCTTGACTTGAGAAAATGTGTTTTCCCAAAGGTACTATTGTTAAGGTATCCAGCCATTATTGTAAAGGCTTCAGTGACATACATATGTGGATATTGTTTGTACTTGAATTACAATTACTTGAATTACTTGAATATTATATACTAAAGTGCTAAGCATAAGCAAAAAGGAAAATGCAGCTTTGATGCATTTAGATGAGTTATATGTTTTCCTCTTCTTAGCACTTAACTGCATAGAATGATATTAATTCTCTAATTTGAGTAGATAAATATGAATATATTAATATATCAATGCTTAAGTCTTTTGTCTGTAGCTCCAAGCAGTATCTTGTGTTTTGTCTGGAATACAGTGAATTAGGATTAAGGACAAACTACTTGTCTTTGTAGCAGACATGATGGAAGGTGAAAAAGAAAATTGTGATTAAAGTTAAAAAAGAAAACAAAATTATTTAATTATTATAAATGTACAGCTTATTATGATTTTATTAATTTGCATTTTAAGAGTTTTCTGTATTAGAATAATAAGACATATCATATGATAATAATTGCTTACAGTTAATAGCACTTTTCTGGACACTAAACTCAAAGCACTCTACAGGTAATGGGGACTCCCCTCCACCACCACCAATGTGCAGCTTCCACCAGGATGATGTGACAGCAGCCGTAGTGCGCCAGAACGCTCCCCACCAATCAGCTATCAGTGGGGAGGAGAGCCGAGTAAAGAAGCCAATTCATAGATGGGGATTATTAGGAGGCCATGATTGGTAAAGGAAATTTGGCCAGGACGCCAGGGTTACACCCCTACTCTTTTCTAGAAACACCCTGGGATTTTTAATGACCACAGAGAGTCAGGACCTCAGTTTTACATCTCATCCAAAGGACTGCTGCTGTTTACAGTACACTGTCCCCATCACTATACTGGGGCATTAGGACCCACACAGACCACAGGGTGAGCGCCCCCTGCTTGCCCCACTAACACCTCTTCCAGCAGCAACCTTAGTTTTTCCCAGGACATCTCCCATCCAGGTACTGGCCAGGCTCACACCTGCTAAGCTACATTGGGTTGCCAGTTGTGAGCTGGAAGGTAATATGGCTGGCTGATATATTTCTTTCCAATGAGATGCTGAACTCAACTGACTACTTGGTTATTAAAAATCATTGTGTCTTTACAAAATTCCACTATGGTCTTCACAGATCTGGCCTTCCTAAATTACCCCCTTAAATCAATTGTGGAAGAACATACTTCTTAGAAGATCTTACTTCTCTGCTTGATCTGCTGTGTAGTGGGTCTGTGTGCACATAATCATTGACAGGTATCACACACAGTGCTGGAGGAAGTGAGACCTGTCCTACATATGCAAAATTGGAATAAGCATACAGTATGATTTTGAATGAAAAGTGCTATTTAATTAAATGTTTCTTTTTGTTTAGATAGTCCCTTCATTCCATCGCTTCCTCAGAGGTACACTTTCACCACAATGAGTGCCGGTATTAGGAAAACACTCGTGAGCTCTATTCAACTGCAGGATATCAACCACAGAGCAGATGAAATTCCACAAGAAGTCAAAGGTAAAACTGTACTCTGAAAATCAAGAAACACGTCACACAATTTTCTCTTAATTTAATATATTTTATTTCAGAATCTAGTAGCCTGGTGATAGAACAAGATAGCAACAACCTTCAATCATATGTAACATAACTCTTTCTGAAATGCCTTGTGTAACTACATAATTTAAACATGTCCTTTCAGAAAAAACGGTAGTACTGTATATTGCTTAGCATATTTTTCTGATGCTAAATGAATACTTCATCTCATAACTGCAAATATCCAATTGGGAGAGCAATTAGAAAACTGTTGAGTGTCCTTGGATTTCGGTATTATCACATTAATTAGCACACCACATCAGTGAATTCTACTATAAAGTCTTTGGGATAGTGTCAGAACTACTGTGGGAGTCTTCCAGTAGTTTTCAGTATGAAGCAAATCTAGAAAGTTGTACATTTTGCAAGACGCAAGATGCATTTTTCTTCATGTTTTTGTGAACTGTAATTTTTAACCAACACAGGTTACACTTCATATTACAAATGTAACGTGTTTTCCACACAGAAATGTGTTTTTCATATTTCTGCTTTATCACCTGGATTAAATTCTCAAAACATTTAAAGCACATTAAATTTTAATCTCTGTAGTAACTATGAAGTCTTTGGAGAGGGGCAGAGAAAGTCAAAATGCTTATTATTTAATTTACTGAAATATTAGTGATAACACATCTGTTTAAAAGCTTTTAATTCCATAATAGTCTACGTTTTAAAAAATGTGTTTTTATTAACATTATGCATTTTCAAATATGAACTCCCTGGAGTTTGTTAGGAAATCCACAGCTCCATTGCTATTGTACTTTGCTATTGTTATATCTCTTATAGATTAAAGATAAAGATAATATTTGAAATTGCCTATATAACACCTTTGTTATTTGTATAAGTCACTATCCATGATTTTTTGTGATTGACTGTTATTGTAATTGTGATGGACTGTGATTAGCACTGCTACCTTGCAGCACTGGGGCCCTGTGTTCAATTGTGAATCTAGGTTGTGTGGCGTTTTTATGTTCTCCCCATGTTAGTGTGGGTTTCTTACCATTGTCCAAAAATGTACAGTACTGGTATGTTACTTGGTTTCTGGAAACTTTGGTCCTGGTGTGTCTGTCTGTCTTCCCCCACAACTCTGAACTGGAAAAAGCATGTGGAAAATGGGTGGAAAGATTTGAATATTTTATTCATTTATTATTTTTCTCCAGAGTTTGAAAAGGATAAGTAAATTGTAATAGATTTTTTTTATCTTACAGAGGAGAAAACATACACCATTGAACAAGCTGTTGAAGAAATTGGCTTTGGGCGTTTTCATGTTCTTTTGTTTTTAATAATGGGCAGTGCAAATGTAAGTTTAAATGTAAAAGTCTGAGATTTAAGTAGTGGTAATAATTTCAAATGGCTTTTCAATATCACAATCTATATACAGTACAACAAGTTAACACTTCTAATATCTGTGATGTTTTTAATACCTTATAACATCTCAGTCAATCATACAATATATTAAAATATTGTTACAAATTATGGGAGATGCCAAAAATGAAATTCTAAATGTAAATGTATCTGTGCTGTAGGTACTGCACAGTACCCAGTAGGTACTCCTCATCAGGAGTGCAAGACATAGTCTTGTGTAGTTTCAGTCTTTATATTTTTAGCATGAATATGTACACCAGTAAAACATTGAGATTGCCCCTCAGAACCTCCCAGCTCTTACCTACATTACAGGCTCAGAAATAAGTTTGTTTCATATTTGAGTTTTTGTCCTGTTCTTTGGGTGTTTGTGTTTGTCCTGTCCTTTGATACATAAAATAAGTTTCTTTAGCACTTTCACTGTTTTGACCAGTTGTTTTAGGTGTGTTACTTCTGCTCTTGAGACTTAATAGGAAAGATTGCTGCAGCTGTAAGTTACAAATCAGCTTTCTATTCCTTTGGCAAACCTCCTGGTACGAAGCAGGAGAATACTTCATGCGAGTGTACCTCCAATGCTGGAGATAGCTTTACACAGCTGAAGGTTGGACCAGAAAAGGAGTACTTCTTTATAAAGATTTAATGGAATGGAAACACAGATTCTTGTACTGAGAGCCCATTTCCTTAGTGTATAGTAGTAGTGCTTTTCTGAATTAGAGTTTAGTATTACACTGTAATAATAAAAACAATTGTTTCAGTCATATACTGTACATTCTTTTTTCCATAGATAGTGGAAGCCATTGAGATAATGTTGCTGGCCGTTGTATCACCGGAAATCCGATGTGAGTGGCGTCTAGAGGACTGGCAGGTGGCATTGGTCTCAACAGTAAGGACAAATGTTTCTCATACTGCACATAATACAACATTAATACAAAACTCAAAAACTCACTAAAAAGAGTTAGAGAGTCTATTTTAGGACAATAAAGATGTCCTTTTTATGGAGAATGGATACTAAGTCATATATACAGTACAAAGTTACCATAAAGAAGGAAAAAACAATTTCAACAGCAAAAAGATGTTGAAGTTTAGTTTCCTAACCAGTGTTCAGATGGCTTCTGATTTGAGTTCCATCTAAAATATATCATGCATCAAAGGAAACTGTACAGAGGTTGGAGGTACAGTATGGTGTGGTGGGAGAACTTGTAACACTTGATTCAGTGAAGGAACCCTTCTAAATTGTGGCCTAAAACCACAATAAAGAGAATTGTTACTGAGACATATATTGAGACAATATGTATTTTGAAATTTTCAGTTCCAGGAACTACTATTTGAAAATTGGGTTATGTCAATTTTCTGTGTACAAAGAGTAGAACACTAGATTGTATTAGAATTATTTGTATTATTTTGCTGGTAAACAAACAGGAAGTATAGAATAAAGAAGATGACGAATATCCTGCAACACTGCCATGCCTTCATGGCGGTGTTGCAGGATATTCGTCATCTTCTTTATTCTATAACAATTTACAAGTGTAACAATTTACACTTGTAGGTAAATTGTTTCTTGGCATAACCTAACCCTAGAAGTGAGAAACCTAAGAAAAACAGGTTTTGAAATTGACATGTTTAATCTTTAGCCATTTGAACAGCATGATGGTGTGGCAGTTGTTGCGGCTCCCTTGAAGCATTTAGGTGCTGGGTATGATTCTTGGCCAAAGGGCCTCGTTTCCTCCCACCTCCCAGAAGCAGGCAGGTTGGATCTATAGTTTGATTTCCAAAAGAAACAAAAGCACTGCTGTTGAATCTTGGCCAGCTTCACCCTTTTAAGAAGAGCAAATTGCAGAGAAATCAGAAATAAGTTGCACAAACAGTCATTTCAGGGTATCAAAATTACCGTAGATTAAAATTTTTTTCAATGCCCAAAATGCTGCCTTTTTAACTTTTACACACACTTCGACCCAGTTCAGAAAGCCTAAATCCAACTAAAAATTAATTCCTAGATTCCCATAAGGTCTGTCCCCACCAAATCCCCAAATTTCCTATGAAACGGCACTGGGAGTCCATGACTTCCAGGAACTTTCCCCAGCTTCAAAGTTCTCACTGCTTTTTCCAGCTCTTCTAATAAACAATTAACAATGAACAAACTCTTTCAAGACTTTCATCCACTTTTAGCTTTTCAATCAATGCGCTCAACAAGTTTCCCATCTGAGTCTTATCTAAATTCTTAACTCCATACAAATCTTTATAAAAGTCTTCTACTGTTTCCCTGTCTCCCTGTCTTCTTTTCTCTGCTTTAAAACCTTATTTTCTTCAAACACCTTTTCTTATTGCCTTTTTCACATCTCTTATTTCTTCTGTAAAATCCCTTCTCTGCTTGTAGCATAAAATATCCAAAAAGATTTGGAAAAAATCCAAAAAGAGCTCATCCCTCCTCTGAGCCCCAGAGAGAAAATAACCTTCCTAACTGAACAACCGGAACATTTCTTAATACAAACAAAAGACCTTAAATGTGAACCAAAAATACACAATTAAAGTATAACTATATGTTAGAACAAGTGTATCACATCTGTTAGAACAGGTATACCTGTTCAAAAAGTGAAATACAGTGTACAATATAATGTAAAGCTTTTATCTATTTATGTTCAGATGGTGTTTTTTGGCTTCATGACTTGTGGTGTACTTAGTGGTTATGTGGCTGACAGATATGGACGCTGGAAGGTAAGACAATATTGATTTTTGTATATCTTGAAATATGTTTTTTATGTGTATCACTTTATGAAGGTAATTTTCTTTGAAAGGTGATTTATAAAGCTGGCATGACAGTTTCCATTGTTGCTTCAAGGTATTCTGCTCTCTTCCACAGTTTAAAGGCATGCTTTACAGTACAGTATATATTAATTCATATGTTTAGAATATTCCCTTATATTTGTACAGGTATGTGAGTGCATGTGTACCATAAACTGGTGTGTAGTCCAGGGTGTATTCTACCTTTCACCCATTGCCAGGTTTGGCTCCAGCTGATCGCAACCCATATTGAGTAAGTGGTGATTGGAAATGGGTAGATGGATGATATACTGTAATAGTGTTCGTGGAAAAGCTCAATTTTTATGGAAGGTAAATGGAAGTATTAATATAATTGAGGTCATTTTCATTTGACCATATCAGCAAGCAAGTAGAGAATAAGAAAAACAGCCAAATAAATTTAAAAAAGCATATAACAGCATAAGATATGATAATACAGTATTCAGTCATTTTCATTGAGGAGTTGACTGATGAGATGATCTGTTATTCTCCAGGAGTCTCTGTTTTCTACTAGTCTGAACAGATTGATCTGGCTTAGCTGTAAATTCAGTGACATCAGCAATCCACTTGTGTTTAGGTCTGCTTCATCAACTGTGCCTTGAAGCCTGCTTGATACCTGTTTTTCTCATAATGCAAATGTTGCATTGTAAAGAGATTACAAATTGCAGCTCTTCACTCAGAATTACTTAAAGTGATCCAACTACACCATCTTCTGGTCATAGGAAGGAGAGAAACCGCAATGAACACAATGACAACATAAACATGGATGTATAAAATGAGCATACTGTATTAGAATTAATAAAAATAAAAAGTTGTTTTTAAAATGCACATATTATACCGCATCTGGATACCTACATTTCAGTCTTCACATCATAAAAAAGAAAAAAAGAAGCCTTGGAGAAAGTCCAAAAAAGAATGTTGACATGTGGGCACAGATTTAACAACCTTTTTAACAGAAACATTCAAGTGAGAGAAAATTTGATTTTTTAAAACATTAAATATATATAGATGAAATACAGATTTTCTCAATCTTCAGTCGCAGAACTATGATGGAAGTCTGTAGCCGGGGATATTAAGTAGTTTTTGCCATTAACATTTTTCCACTTTGTTAATGTTACTAACACCTCTAGACTTTTTCAATTTTGGTTAGTGACATATTTTAATTGTTCTAATCTGCATCCAGGTGTAACATAATCTGTATATCACTTTTCTGTGAAGGAAGATTGCACCAGAATAGTCATGAGTAATTTGCAATATTCTCTGCATTATAAATCTAAGATTTTTATTTATTTATTTTATTTTTATAGGTTGTATTTGGGGCATTCATCTGGGCTGCTTACTTCTCTCTGCTGACTTCATTTTCTCCTTCATATGGCTGGTTTATCTTCCTGCGCACTATGGTGGGATGTGGTGTAGCTGGAACCTCACAAGGGTAACATTGTGCACTTTATCACTATTAAAGTCAGAGGACAAAAAGTGAAGGCAGAATTAAGAGGTTTTCAAAATCTTCTAAAAATGTGTAAATATTAAAAATTGTCCTTTCAGTGTTAGTCCTTAATTATAAAACACCTTTAATGCCACACAACTATCTTTTCCCTATAAAACATTTTTAAAGTTTTATTCTATGGAACTGTATGTGTTGATAATGTACCTTTATACAGTATGTTTAAACATACTGTCACCACAGAAATTGTAAAAAGCTAACAAAAGTCAGACCTGCGAATAAAACTGTCATAAATTTGTGTATGTTTGATTTCTTTAGGTTTGTTTTAAAAACAGAATTCATTCCTGCAAAGTACAGAGGCTATTTGTTACCATTATCACAGGTAGGTACTTTAGTATCAGAAAAATTTTATATCCTATTGAAAGGCCTCTAAGAGAAAAGAAAGAAGAGTTTTGAAATGGAGATATGAAGGAATATACATCTGATGATTTAAAAAAAATGAACAATGATTTAAAAAAGACACTTAAAAAAACAATATTATTAGCTACAGTATATAGCTAAACAACTTAGCATTTTCTATTCATTGTACATGATCTGTTATTTATATTTGTACTGTAGGTCACACAGACCTACTGCCATTTCCCATTAATATAGTCTGCTTTCAAGATCATGCAGCTTTTTTGTTACTTTTCTCATGCTGAAAATGAATTGTAGAAAAAGGTAAAAACCAGATGAGATAAACTGCTGACAAGGATTTAATATGCAGTTTTTTAAATGAATAACTAGTATTTGTATGTCAATTATTGTAATACTGGGAGCTGACAGCAGAGGGTGTGATATACTTGAAGATAAAGGTGCAGTTGAAATAAAAAAAAATGTTTATCCAGTACATATTCCTGTGCAAATACCAAAGTAGCATAAGTTGTAGCTATATCAAATAACTTCCTGAGCAACAGTAGTGCCCTTGAACTTCAGCTCTAGTATATACTGATCTTTTTGTTTTATGGAGATTAAAAATACCAAAACCCTTAATGAAAGTCAGGAATTCCAAGTAAATTATGTTAATATGTGAGTAGTTTAAAGAAGAATGCACAGTGTGCTCTAAGTAATATTATTATGACAGAAATATGAGCAACCATAACAGTTCTTTATTCTTAGAATTATGTGGAATGTGCTCTAAAATTGCATTAATTTTTTTTCCTGTAGTTTTCCTGTCTCAGAACAACCTGTGCTAAAATAAGGTCATATTCCCCCATTTCCCATGGGACTCTTCCTTCTAATTTTGGCTGTTGACAAAATATACTCACATTTCTCTAGTAGTAGCAGCATGTTGTTTTGTTACCTTGCTTTTGCCATCTTGGGACAGCGTTTTTGTGGCTTTATAACATTTTGACAAATTGCTTTTTTCATCCCAGTAGCAAAATAATTCCTTCACTTTTAAATTGAATAATACAGGGAAATGCTGTTCCATAGCCATTAGTGCTGTTTTATGTAACCAAAAAAAATGTAATTAGCAAACAATTTCACTATTTCCTATACCACATGCTTAATTTTTGACTTCTCTAAAGTTATACAGACACTCATTATTGAGTGGTACAGCCTAAATGTGGACATTCTAGCTGCATTCATCTACTCAAGAAGAGTGATAACAATACTATTGAACTATAATTATTTATGATGCCTCCTGTAGTATCGGTGATACATTGGGGGCAGGATGCCATTGCTTAGTGGATCTTGGTAAACAGACATACAAATGCAGGCATATCTAGTGTAAACATTTTTAATGTAAATGTTTTCTCTCTCAATGAGGGAAAATGAATACAAAACCAAACTCTAGTTCCTATCTAAGCTCTAGCTAACCTCCTTCTGTCAGTTACTCTGCTGTCTTCTTAGAGATCAATGGCCCACAGGAAACTTCTAATTCCTGGTTTTTACATGTAGGTGACCAATTGTCTTCCACCAACTGACTTAGGACAGCAGGTCATCCAGCTTTGCACTATGGCAAATGTGGTTCAAACCAGAACCTCCATCTTATGTGTATCCAATGTACTCTTACTTATCTTAAGTTGGAGTAAACACCTGCATTGTTAAAAGGTTTTAAAATTTACCTCTGGAATGTTTTTAAGTGATGATCAAATGCAGCAGAAAACAAATAGGAAGACAGATTACAATCAAATCGAGAAAGATTATTTAAATTTCCCATTTGCTCAATGGCTGTTAAAGTCTGTACAGTATGTACAGTATGAATAGTCAGGTTTGTCTTCCGATATTGCTTATTTAAGGCGCTACTATAGTGACTCATAAAATATTTTCAGGTTTATTTACTTTTAATTTTTAAAAATACTTGATTTTGTTCTTTGTGACAGATTTTCTGGATGCTGGGTGCAGTGCTCATGGTTTTCCTAGCAATGACAGTGATTCCCTCTCTTGGCTGGCGTTGGATGATCCGAATCTCCATTATTCCAAGCATTATTTTAATGTTTTTGTTTCAGGTGATATTAATTTATTTCAAGCTCTGACATTCAGTATTATTATATTACTCAACAGCTATTAAATATTTTCCATCAATTACAGGGATAGTCAACTACAGTTGACTATCCCTAGGTATTCCAGGAAACCCATTTTGTCACAATATTTTCCACACTTGTTTATTTCTTTGTGAATTCTTAGATTAATTATAAAATGAAATGTTTTTTCAATCAGGGATTTAAAACTGAGCAACATACAGTAAATAATGTTACAAGTTATTGCTTTGCACATTTTTTTCCCACTAAGTACCTCATTGTGGTTCTTAACTGAATGCAACAACTACAGTATAACAAAAAAAGGAAAAATAAGAAAAAAAATTATTCAATAATATATAAAGATATTAAAAGGTTGGTTAACAGTAACTTAAGAAAAACATTAAAATCATGTGTTTACAATGAAACTAGTAAGTTTTGAATTGCATTGGATTGCATACACATTTTTTGCAGAGTTCATTTAAACATTGAACTGTTTCCAGTTTATTCCAGAGTCAGCTCGGTACAACGTTTCCGCAGGCAATGTCAGTGGTGCTCTGCAAACCCTCCAGCGTATTGCCCGAATGAACGGCTCCTCACTGCCCGAGGGAAAACTAGTGGAACCATTAGTGGTGTGTTCTAACATGCTTTGGTTTAGTTAATGGTTGGAAGTGCTCTTCCTTTAGGAACAAAATATCAAAGTGAGGAACAATTGATTATTTTTGGTGAAGAATATGCTCCAGTTAGAACATATGAACAGCTTCAAACAAGAAGAGGTAGTTTGGTCCATCTAGCTCAGTTGATTGATTTTTCTTGAATCAGCTTTGTAACTTATTAATGTAAAATAAACCACACATGAGTGTACATTATGTATTCTGATTTTTGAAAAAGTAAATTAATGAAGAAACAAGCCATGCACTTACAGGAATGGTGCTTTTTGTGTTTGTTGAAATATTGTTTTAAAGAAATTTATGTAAGATCTGTGTATTTTTAAATATCATGTTGAAAAGTAAAATATATCTGTTTATTATTTTCAGACACAAAGAGGAAGTTTTTATATCTTAGTGAGTTCAACATTTAGGAGGACATCAATGCTTTTGTGGTATTCATGGTAATGTTTTTTAATTTAATTATAAAATTAAATGCATGGACAACAGTTGTTTTTAAATGACTAATTTTTAACCTATTTATTTTTATGTATTAAGCATTTTACTTCGATTTTGTAAGTCTTACGTCAATGTGATCTTTGAAATCTTAGGCTTTTCTGATAGCTAACTAACATCTGAAAGCTTACACGTACAGAAAAAAACACAGTAATTGGTCTCCTCCTTTGTATCGTGGGAACGTTTTTGGTGTAACTCTAACATTTTCTTTTACTAAGGAATGTATTGGAATAGGTAAACTTTAACCACGTCTTTGTTTTTTTGGGGGGAAATGTACAGTAGTCCAGTTTGCATTATAACTAAAATGATTAAGTATAGTTATTTAAGGCTATAGACCTGACAAACCTATTTAGGGTGTTCATATATTTTAAAAAATGCTTTGTTTTTCCTGTGCTCCCTAGGTTTGTTGCTTCTTTCTCATATTATGGCTCTGTCCTGAGCAGCTCTGAGCTGCTGGAGAAAAATCTCCTGTGCATCACCAATGCTGAGTCTGAGCACAAGATAAACCCTGAGGTGACTCCGTGCTACTGCATTCCCTTTGGAAACTCAGATTATCACACCATGCTGATCAGTTCCTTGGGGGAGATATCACGTAAGAATCATTACTTTATTTTAGGTCTTATACTGTATATAAGATTACTGCACATTTGCATCCAATATTGGAGATCTGCAGGCTTCTTTGAACCTGTTGGTACCAGATGGTGGTTTTAACACTTTGTTAAGAATGTACAGGTATTTAAGATTGTGGTCTAAATCCTAAGTCATACTTAAGTTTTAGTTATTAAAAGTAAAAAAAATGAAATTATTATTTGCAACAGTAGTATTAACACCTTTTTGCCAATCTTATCAGATATTAGAAGTTAAACAAGGCTGGACTTGGTCATAGCTAGGATAGAAGACCTCTAGGAAATCCAAGTTACTGATGTAAGAAGTGTTTGTGATCCAGTAGGTGGCATTTTTGTTTCTGGTACAGTGTTCTCGAAGCAATGCCTATTATTATGACAGGAGACATTGTTCTACAATCGTTGCTGTGTTTTGAATGAGACCTTAAATCAGGTCTTTGTTGCTTGGTCATTATCCTGTGGAACTGCTCGTAAGAACTGGAGTATTAACTTATTTGTCCCAGCTAAATTCCACTCTTGGCTTGCCTAATATTGTCTACCTAATGTTTCCTCTTAATTTAACTGGTGGGATCCTTTAAGACACAACAATTACTTTATAAATTTGGGGATTGTTATTATTAATGAATTGATCACATTATTACTTAGTTCTTTTTTATTTTTTGACGTATGTAAATATTAATGTAAATTTCTTATATAAATATCTTTACAACATACAGTAGTTGTCCTCAACTGTAGTGAGTTTTCCACTTTAAAAAATAAGATAAATTCAAATGCAATTTTTAAAAACATTTCTAAAGTGGGATTCTCTAAATTTATAAAGTATTACTTTATGTCTTGTTTAGAAATAACAAACTTATAATTTTAATTTATTCTTTAATAGAATTATATTATTTTTAATAAAGGATGATTTCCTCAATCCAAATTCCGGAGAATTCTTTTCTCAGAAAAGAAAAAGTAACAAAATTAAACATAAGCATCAATTTTACTTCTAATGCTAGTTGTACTTTTTGAAGAATTAACTACACAATTTTATATTCTTCATCGTTTTAAGATTGCAAAATATGTTTTTTCAAATATGCTTGTTTTTTCCAGTTCTTCCTTTGAATATCATCATGTTAAATACTTTAGGACGGAAATACAGCATGGCCATTTTAATGATATGCTCTGGAATATTCTTTCTGCTTCTCAGCATTTGCTCAACATTGTAAGTGAACTTAAATTATTTTAATTCTGCTTTCATCTGTGACAAAATAAAAAGAAATGACTTTGCATGGTTGTTCCATTAATAGAGGTTCCTAATTAAGGTGTGTCTGAGTTGTGTATGGCCCCAATTAGTAGCCATACTGAACCCCCAACAACCTAGATCTAAATGTAAATTAAAATCTAGGGGATGTCCAGTCCACCCTTTGAGTACTGATGTTAGTTTTGGAATACATGGAGACCCTTATGGTTTGTTATCTGGTATTATCAAAATCCCAGGTGACACTTGTTTTTAAGATGAGCTGAGCTCAAATCAATTTGTTCCCTGTTCTCTATATCTTTAAATAATCAAAAAGCTGAAATCCTTTGAAGTGTTAAATTAGCTGAATAAAATCATTATGGAGGTAGGAGGAAAAGATACAGAGACTATGACTGTTCAGGACTAGAATTATGCACAACTGAATTATGCACAACTGCACTTGAGAATCTGGAAAATAAATTGATATTTATTGGAAAATAATAACACTGAGTTGCACAACTTTGTCAATATATCAGTCTGTGATAACTTTGCCACATATTTACCCATCATTCTGAAATATTTGTTATACACAATATCAAGAGATGGCACCCCGTACCATATTAGAAGACCTTTCCCAACAGTCTTCTGCAAGTATAAGATAAGCTCAGCCCTGCATACAAAGAAATGTGCTTTATCAGAGGAACCTACATTTTGTAATTGTTCGTTGTACCTCTTGTGCCCACTACAGTCAAGCCTTCAGCCTTGATTTTGAGTTAAAGTTGTATCAAAATAGGGACCATAGCGCTGTTACTAGGCTTTTGTGTAACGAGCAGCAAAAGCTTGATTGGTTAATGCTCTGATGTTTCAGAGCAGAATCATTTCATACTATTTCAGATTATTGTGCGTGTTTTACAAACCTGAAACATTTTTACATTGCTGAAGTGGCATTTTTGAAGGTTGCTTACTGCTCAAAACACAGTTGTGGTAGTCTCTTTTTTGAATAACAACTATCATTCTGGTAAGAGAAATAGATTTCATTTCCACTTTAAATGTGTCAACTTTCTTTTAAAAAAAAACAAGTGTCACCTTAAAAATACAGCATGGTGACATGAGCTTTACTGTTTTTGATTACTGTATATTGCATGTTGGAGCACATTCTGTGTGGTGTTTGCATGTTCTCCCCAGGTTTGTGTGGACTTTTCTGGATGCTCTAGCTTCCACCAAGTTTCAAAGTTTCAAAGACTTGTGGCATGGCTATAAGCTGTCCTTTTGTGTTTGTGTTCTCACAGTATGTGCCCTGCAATGCATGGGCATCTCATCTATGGTGTATTTCTGTCTTTCACCTTCTTCTTTTAAGGTAGGCTCTAGAATGCCATGATTCTTATCTGGATTTAATAAAATTTATTTTTTCTGTCTTACAGGTTTGGCTTTACAATCTTACTTTTTCTACTTCGTTCCATCGTAGCAATGAACTTCAATGCTGTTTATATTTATACTGCTGAGGTGGGTGTACAAATGTAGAATTAAAGTATTTCACACAGGTTCCTTATTCACAATATTGGTTTTGGCTACAGACTATCTTCCTCTTTAATACTTGGATGTTAAGGAATACTCCAGTTACATTAGTAAAATATTAAAGTAGTTAACCTTTAATACTTTTAAATGGATTTACATTCGTGAAACTGGAACATATTAGGTTTTACACCAGGAAAGCTTTATTAAACACAGCTCTCTGTACAATCCTTGTATTGGTCTGGTACTAGACAGGGCTGAGCTCCTTGAAAAAGTTCATAAGCATAGACTCACAGGCTCTACTGTTGCAGAAAATAAGGATACAGCCTAAATCTGTCCATTTCCATCTGAGCTATACAGTGTATATAAAAATTCTACACACCCTTATTGAAAAGGGTTTTTATTATATAAAGCCAGAAATCAAGATAAATCATGTCAAACATTTTTCCATCTTTAATGTGACCTTGCAACCAACAAAATTCGAATAGATAAAATAAATAGATAATTATTAGGAAAAATAATTGAAATTAAAAAATCTACAACACCCTGGTTGTATACAGTAAGTGTGCACCCCCCCCCAACTAATACTTTGTGGAAGCACCTTTTGCATTTATTACAGCAGTAAGTCTTTGTGAATAAGTTTCTATCAACTTTGCACACCTGGAATTTGCAATTTTATCCCACTCTTCCTTGAAAAAAAGTTCAAGCTCCTTCATATTGTCAGTGGATCTCCTTTGTACAGCCCTCTTTAGGTCATACTACAGGTTTTCTATTGGATTGAGGTCTGGGCTCTGACTGGGCCATTCCAAGACTTTGATTTTCCTTTTCTGAAGCCATTCCTTGGTTGACTTGGATGTGTGCTCTGGGTCATTATGTTTGAAGGTAAAATTCCTCTTCATCTTCAGCTTTCTGACAGAGGCCAGAAGGTTTTGTGCCAAATATCCTACAGTATATCTTACAGTATATCAATATCTTATATTTGGAGCTAGTCATTATCCCATTTATCTTGACTATAGCCCCTGTCCCAGCTGAAGAGAAGCAGCCCCAAAATATGATGCTTCCACCACCATGCTTCACAGTAGGTATGGTGTTCTTTGGATGATGAGCTGTGTTGTCTTTGCACCAAACATATCTTTGAGAATTAAGGCCAAAAAGATCACCCATTGTCTCATCTGACCATAAGACATTTCCCCACATGTTTTAGGGTGATTGAATTCATTTTTTTGCAAAACTTAGATGGGTTTGGATGTTCTTTTTTGTGAGAAATCGCTTCCGTCTTGCCACCCTGCCCCATAGCCCAGATGTGTGCAGAATACGGGAGATTATTGTAACATGTAAAGAGTGACCAATACCTGCCAGAAATTCCTGCAGCTCCTTTAATGTTGCTGTAGACCTATTGGTAACCTCCCTGATAAGTTTTCTCCTTGTCCTGTCATCAACTTTGGAGGGTTGTCCTGATCTTGTCATGTCCCTGTGGTGCCACATTTTCTCCACTTATTGATGATAGTCTTCACAGTGCTCCATGGTACATCCAATGCCATTAAAATTATTTTATACCACTCTCCTGATCGGTACCTTTCAACTATAAGATCCCATAGATGTTTTGTCAGCTCCTTGCGGACTGTGGCTATCCTACAGGAACGGAAATCCTACAGGAACGGCTGATTTTTATTTGGGGTTAATCAGAATCACTTTCATTGATGGCAGGTTACTTAACTTGGGAGATGATTTTGAATGTGATTGGTTAACTCTGAACACAGCTACAGCCCCCATTATAAAAGGGTATGCAACCAGGGTGTTGTAGGTTTTTTAATTTCATTTATTTTTCCTAATAATTATCTATTTGTTTTTCTCTTGAATTTTGTTGGTTGCAAGGTCACATTATAGATGGAAAAATGTCTGACATGATTTATCTTCATTTCATTTAAACCTGCAATTTCAGTAAGGGTGTGTATACTTTTTATATCCACTGTACATTGTAAAGTCGTTCTTGATGTAAAACATAATATTCACTTCTTATTTATATTAATATATAGCCTATTTAATGTTTTTCTGGATACAGATCAATAGTTTTTTATAATATTAAATGGTTTTCTATATTCAGCTATGGACAGAAAGGTTTTGCTGTAGTTTTACTAACACTTGTAAGGCAGATAGGAGTTAAATCCTGTTTCTTTAAAAAAATGTAATTAGAGAATTCATGTTTGAATGAAAAATCTTCACTTTAAAAAATGTGTATACTGTATATTATGTTATTCACCATAATGGGGCATCATTGCAAGGGGTGAGTATTGTACACAGTGTCAGGTACAAAATAATGACCCCCCATCCCTTACAGCAAATTAAAAGTGTTTAAAATATTTGCTGACAGTAAAGTACTAAAACAGTATGGTAAAGAGCTGTAGTGTTTAACACATTTAATATTACATGTTGTTTTTTTTATTTCATTTATTTTTGTTTCTTTGTGAGTGGTAATGCTATTCTGTTTTTTTATCACATTCAAGGAATAGAAAAGTTCCTCACACCATAATGTCCTGCTCATTGACAATCTAGTCATTGACAATCTGATATTTTTAAATTTTTATAGCTCTATTTTTGTTTGCTCTCAGGTCTATCCAACCTCAGTGCGATCCATAGGATTGGGGTTTTGTACCTCTTTCAGCCGTATAGGTGGCATGATAGCACCGTTTATAGCTCAGGTAAGCATGTCTTAACAATTATTATTGTTTTTAATAATGTTCATAACAATAGGAGATAATTGAAAGCAGTAAGGGATGCTTCGGTCCATTTTCTAACCGCTTCAACCTAGGGTGTGGGGGAGCCAGAGTCTATCCCTGTAAGCAGTGGGCGCAAAGTGGGATACACAATGGACGGGACACTAGTCCATCACAGGGAACACACACTCCCAGTCTCACACAACAGCTAATTTTGCCAGAAGCCAATTAACTTTGTCTGGACAGATAGGAGCAAAACCAGAGCACCCAGCAAAAACCCAAGCGAATGCAGATGCATTCCTCATTTGTGTGAGGAGTCAGGTACTATATCATAACAAGTGCCAAGGCATGACGAACAGCACCAGATTACACCATTTTTATTTTTTTGAATAATATGATGCAGGACTGCACTACTCTGTAAAATTGCCAGGTGATGTGGTGAATCCTTAAAGTACCACAGCTGGGTCTGGTTGTCAAACAATTTATTAACCCATTAGTGCTTTCCTGTGCTAATTACACTGTACAAAAAGCATAGTACTAGCTACAAATAATTTGATTAAATACAATGATTACACACCAGGCTAATTAAGATACAATATGTCACAATACTGTGTAACAGTAACAGAGTTTTTTAAATTCCATTATTTATTAGTTTTTAAAGTTTTTTTCTTTAATCAAAGAAAGACTGAATCCAAAAGATGCACAATTGTTACCTATTTTAATTTTGTTCTGCTTGATATGGTCATATATAGGTATTTCACATAAATACCTCTTGAACAGTAATTCTTGCAAATGAAGGGCAAATGTGTTTCTCCACCAGTTTTTTTTTCAGATACAAATGACCCTGAACTAGTTTTCTGGGTCCATTCCTAGAGGGAGACAGAGCAGCATGATGGAAAGGCAGATTAGCACATCTGTGTGTATCATGGTTATATACTACATTTAATATCAATTTTGTCCTTTATGTATTTACGGCATCATGTGTCTTGCATATTTTCAAGTAACATTGTTACACTAAAGTGCAGTCCATAAGTATTTGGACAGTGACAATATTTTTGCTGTTTTGGCTCTATACTCCAGCACATTGGATTTGAAATAAAACAATGACTGCGATGTTACAGTGCAGAATGTCAGCTTTAATTTTAGGGTATTTATGTCTATATTGGGTGAATATTCCATATAGGAATCACAGCCCTTTTTATACATAGTGCCCCCATTTCATAGGACCAAAAGTAATTGGACACATTAACATAATCTTAATTAAAATTTGGCATGTTTGCAAATCCTTTGCAGTTGATGACTTTGTGAAGTCTGCGACCCATAGACATCACCAGACGTTGGGTATCTTTCCTGGTGATCCTCTGCCAGGCCTGTACTCACAACTGGCAACCCACTGAAGCTAAGCAGGTGTGAGC